CGTAAGCAGTTCGTTGCGTCAAATTAAAAAAGGGGGAACAAAGAAAAATATACATGTTTATTAGGTAGCCTGTTACCGACATTGTCCTTTCACACTTTTTCGTCGGAATTCCGAATCGTATTATAGCGTGGTCTAAACGAGTATCTATGAAGCGGATATGAAAAGGCGCTTGATCTCCGAATATTTCCCTACTTTTAACAACCACTTTACGACGGAAGTACGACAAGACAATTCTGCCGAACTAAAACAGAAACTAGGAAAACAAAATTGCTTTGTTTGCTGGCCAACCTGTCAGGAAGATCCACAAAATAAACCGAACATTCGACGAAAATCTTGAAATATTCTCGATACAGTTTTGACGGTTAACATAAGTTATTGCAAAGTACAGGACAATTCAACGATTAACGTTCGACGACAAACAGATGAAAATGGAGGTTAAACGTAAATTTGATAAAGCAAGAGCGAAAGATTGTCGCAAATACAAATGAAGGGGATAAGAAAGAGCCCATAAAAATCAAGTCTGAAACAATTTGAAAAAAAAAAAGAACGGAGAAAAAACTTACGGTTCGTCCACTCAATCTCTTTTTCAAAATGTGTGACAAGAATGGCAGTTTCCCCCTTGAAAAATACTCATAGAATTGAATGTAAACCAAAACAAGATCACGCTATAGTGATTGTTGTTTGTCTGAGTAATTCGCTTTTATAAACGACAACTTGTATGCACAGATGTTTTAGCAATGCAAATGAACCACATTGCTTATGACGGAAACTAGAGGAAGCGATTTGCAATGTCCACCAAATTTTTCAATATTTACAGTTAGCAGACAGGATTAGCAGGATAGTTTTAGTTTGCATTTCTGCAAAATATGCAAACATACAGAATATAAACGCATTCAGTCCACAGAGTAAAACATTTTTGGTATCCAAGGGCAACCCAAAAAACAATGAAGACTGGTTTGAAGATGCCGGCCACGTATGAAAGAAGAATGAGAAAAAATTAAGGTGTAGATTAATGGAAAACCCTTCGCAACTATGGTGGTTAAAACTGGGAGTACTAGACACAATGTTTTCATTTGATGGAAAGAAGAGAACAGATGCAAACATAGGAAACAAATTTCCAGTTATGGAAGCATTCATTTCTGACCCTTAGTGTCAAAGGCGCTACTTTGATAGTGATCACAACTGTAAGATCGAATTCTTATTTTATAGAATTTCAATTTCAAAATTTTTAACTTAACTGAACAAAAATCAAGCAACTGTCTTTTGGTGAGGGAAGACGTAAAGGTGCGATTTCATTAAAAAAAATTAACTCAACGCACGGCGGCAAAGGTAGGTAAATTAAAGCAATCGAAAACCAACATTGGCTTGTTTGTTCACGTGTCCCGATAACAACACCTAGCTGGGAGAAAAAAGAATTTCCAGAGACCAAATGAAAGCTATTGCCGCAAAAGAAATTCTCAAGGAAATTAAGATGTGGATGTAAAAGAGACGAACTGTTTTGCAAAGTTGAATTAATCACACTGCGCAAATGGCAAGTCTGGATTACTTTGACAATAATCATTAGTCTAGTCTGTTTTGCTGTGCAAAACACACTGCTCTTCTAGCACTGACTATTATCTGGCTAATAGAGTGGCACAACACGATTTTTATCATGGAACACAAAGAAAGCGAAACATACAAAAAAAAACAAACTTCAAAAGAAAATGTTTCCATCCATATAACGACTTGGCTCCTTGTATTTAAAGTCCCAGTTAGAGAAGAACAACCCTTAAGAGACGAACAACACTATTACAAAACGCAAAGGGAAGGAATATCAGATGCCGCGGAACGTATCGCTTACGGACGATATGACTGGTCTAAAGAATGTTTTTTCAACGTGACTGTAATGAAAAAACAGCCTTGCATAATTCGGCTACGACAAGGCTCTATCCTTTTTTCAAGCGATTTTTTCAAACATAAGTGACATCTTTGAACCTGAATTTAACTGACTCTTGCCTTGCTTTTTGAGTTGAAGATCTGCGCCCAGTTGTTCAAAAGGCGGGAAAATGGCTTTCCAGTGGATAAGTGTTAACGAAACGTGTTACGCTCTCCACCTGATGCGCTTGTCACATTTCGACTCGGCAGAATGAACCGTGCGCGTGAAATGAATGTGAGCTAATGATGTAAACTGTCAAAATTTACCAATCAGATTAAACACCAGAGGTTGACAATCACGTACTAAAAAAATAATGCTTAAAAGCTGTTTTGGCTCGCCTCCTTTATCAAGCTTCTCTACTTCTCTACAAGCTAGTTTCAAGATAGGTGTTGTGTTCTGCTGTTATATAAAACATACAAGTACCTTTTGCAAAAGGGGTCCGAGAAGCCGTTCGCATCCTTGGAAGGTAAGTTCCGCGCTTCCTTCAA